TAAAGTTTAAGTTACAGTGGCGGCCTCATAGGAGGGTCGTCACAGTATACACGACATAACATATGAGCCATGCATTTCTTACTTCACATGAGCTACTCAAAAATGAACTCCAACTTGTATCAAATTCATGGGCTTTAAAAAACTCATGCATTTCTTACTTCATATTGGCTACCTAGAATGTGTGCATAAGATTGAGTTTATATGAACAATATATATTAAAATAAAATAAAGAGTGATGCATTGCTAGTCATTGTACAGTAATTTTTGATAAAATTTGATGTTTATTAACTTTAAAAAATAAAGAATAATATACTAGAACAAAAATAGAGTACGAATTTCAAAAAAATTAAGAAGATACTCATGTTTATGCTACGTAATTTCTTGATACTTTCTGAGGCTTTAAAAAATAACTTTTTGAAAAATATGTTGAATGGCCTACCACAACCTACCAGCCGTCGTGGAATTTTGGTTCAAGGTCGCAAAAGTCTTTGGGCAGGTCCTACATATTTATTTAAGATTCCACAGTAAATTTGAGTGGTCAAGTCGTTGTCCACATGCATTGAACAATGAAAGGCTTTTATTAATTATCAAAAAAAAAAAAAAAAAAAGGAAAGGCTTACTTTCTTTTGTTTGTGTCAGATCTCAAACACTTCTCGCGCTTGTATTCAGATTCTGATCTTTCTCCCATTTTGCCATTTGCTTTCTTTGAATCTTCGGCTGTGCAAACTGCAAACAGAACTGATTAAGAGAAGATCATGGCTGCTGAGTTGGTGGGTCCCAACTGCTTACTCAAGTCAGTTTTCTTGGCAAGTTTTTCAAGTACGAGGTGGAAGAGAACTCAAGAACTTCATCTCATTAGATTGTGTGCAGAATTTTTTGTCATCAGTGATCTTCTCAAATCCCATTGTGGTCTCAAATCCCAAGTACGTAGGAGATTTCGCTCTAAATCTCGTTAAATCTCGCGTATTGTGTTCTTTGAATTCTTGATTGAGTTTACTGTACCATTGATTTGTTTATCCGTTCATGAATTGAGTTATTTGCTTACAATTTTTGTTTTGAGTTTAAATAGACAAAGTTGATTACAATTAAAAAAACATCATAAATTGAGAAACAACAATTAAAAAAAGAGATTGTAAGAGACAATAATTCAATTTCTGGTTCGAAAATTACATTAGCTTATCATGCAGAATTAAATTGCTCTTCGAAGAAAAAAAAAAAGATTAGCCGAGACAAAAAAACAAAAACAAAAAAGTTTATATTATGAAATGGGCCATGGAAAATGATGGCCACCTCCATTAGCTGTGAGAATCTAATTGCTACTGCTTTTCTAATAAAGACAACACGTAATAGATAAAAATAAAAAGATAAAATCATTTTGAAACTCTCTAATATAACAAAACATCTTATTGGTATCATATTTTTTTGATAATATTATAATAATACTTTCAATTTTAAAGAAACATTTCTTTTAGAATTAGTATGTTGAATTTTAAGAAAAAAAAATGTTCATTCTATCCTTCTTAGTTTCTATTTAATTAATAAAAAGACAATTTAAACATTTTAAGTCTTAAAATAAGTATTAAAGTACTAAAAAACGGTTCTTTAAAAATTAAAATATTATTTTAATGTTATTGAAAATACATAGTATTATTGAGGTGTTTCGCTATATTGCCAAAAAAAAAAAAAAAAAAAAAAAGTTGAAGTCATATTCCTTTAGCCTTTAGCCTTTTCTTCCCACTAATTTGTGTCGGGCATAGAACAACTTCCTTTCAAGAAGCAAGTCGTTTCCACTTGTCGTTTACCATTGTTTGCAGCAGATCTCAAACACTTCTCACGCTTGTATTCACCAGATTCTGATCTTTTACTATATTTCTCCCATTTTGCCATTTGCTTTCTTTGAATCTTCGGCTGTGCAAACTGCAAACAGAAGTGATCAAGAGAAGATCATGGCTGCTGAGTTGGTGGGTGGAGCTCTGCTTTCTTCTTCCCTTCAAGTGTTGTTTGAGAAGATTGCTTCTCCTGAGGTTGTTTACTACTTGACCGGAAAGAAAAGCTCCGGTTTAAGTGTGCTGCTCAGCAAATTGAAGATAAAGCTATCCTCTGTCAATGCGGTGTTGGATGATGCGGAGTATAAGCAAATAAGAAACCGCGGAGTGAAGGATTGGCTCGAAGAACTTCAAGAGACAGTCTTTGATGCTGAAGATCTCTTGGCTGAAATTGAAGCTGATGCTCTCCAGCAAAAGATGGAAGCCGAGTCGAGAACCGGCGGCCTAAGCAAGGTGAGTAACTTCTTTTCCTCTATTTACGATTCAACTGATCGGGAGAGGAAGGCCAAGATTGAGGAGATTCTTGAGAGGTTGGAATATATTGCGAGTCAAAAGGATATCCTTGGTCTGGAAGAGCTCATCATGGAGATAAAGAGTGTGCTGGAAAGATCTCATCATGGAGGTCACCTTCAACATCGTTGGTGGAAGAATCCAGTGTCTATGGTAGAGATGATGACAAGGAGGTAATAATCAAATTGTTGCTGTCAAATGAAGAAGGTCCCGGCGGTAAGATAGGCGTGATTCCAATAGTCGGCATGGGCGGGCTCGGAAAAACCACTCTTGCCCAGCTAGTTTATAATGATGATGAAGTTAAGAAACATTTTGAACTCAAGGCATGGGTTTGTGTCTCTGAAGAATTCGATATTTCTCGGGTCACAAAAACGGTGCTTCAATCAGTGTCTTCAGCTTCTGCTAAGGATGTTACAGACCTAAATTCCCTACAAGTTGAGTTGAAAGAGATGTTCACCGGACGGAAGTTCTTGATCGTTTTAGATGATGTTTGGAATGAGAGTTATGTTGATTGGGAGGACTTGAGGATTCCTTTCAAAGATGGGGCTCATGGAAGCAAGATTATCGTGACAACAAGAAGCAAAAGGGTTGCTACTATCATGGGAACAGTTTCGAGCCATATTCTGAAGGAATTATCAAAGGAAGCTTGTTGGGAACTCTTTGCAAAGCATGCTTCTGGAGCTGGAGACTTTACTGCCCATCGAGAACTAGAAAGAATTGGGAGAGAAATCGTAAAGAAATGCAAAGGTGTGCCGTTAGCTCTAAAAACACTTGGAGGACTATTGCGCTCTACGTTGGATGTTGGGGAATGGGAAAAGATATTGAAGAGTGATATTTGGGATTTTACAGATGAGCAGAGCAAAATTCTTCCAGCTTTGAGATTGAGTTACCATTATCTCCCTTCTCCCTTAAAACGATGTTTTGCTTATTGTTCAGTAATTCCCAAGGACCGTGAATTTGAAAAGGAGGATTTGATCTTACTATGGATGGCGGAAAATCTTCTGGAGCAGCCAAAGAGAAGTAAGAGAATGGAAGAAGTGGGTGATGAGTACTTTAATGATTTAGTATCTAGATCATTTTTTCAACAACAAAGTAACGACAGCCGTTCCATTTTTGGTATGCATGATCTTATCGTTGATTTGGCTAAACATGTATCAAGAAGATATTGTTTTCTCCTAGATGACAACACCTCAAAGGAAATTGCGATGATCAAGCGAGCACGTCATCTTACGTATGCTATGAGTGAGAAGAATTTCTTTGAATTCTCCAATTTTGTTTCTGAAACACCTCGTTGGCGCACTTTTCTTCTACGAGGGGACTTACCTGAGATGAATGCAAATGAGTTTGTTATGAATGCAAGGTGTCTGAGAGCTCTGTCTTTGTCTTGTGTCCGTGGAAAGGTCGAGGTACCTGATTCAATAGGCGAATTAAGGCATCTTCGCTACTTGAATCTCTCGGGGTCTGAAATTGAAAGATTGCCCGAAGCTTTCAGCAAGTTGTACAATTTACAAACGCTGAAGCTGGCAAACTGTCAAAATCTTGCGAAGCTGCCTAAAGATTTTTGTCGTCTCATTAATTTGAGATATCTTGACATCGCTGGAAGCGGCTTACGAGATATGCCTACACAAATGGGTGAACTGAAGAACCTCCAGAAGTTAAGTACCTTCATTGTGGGAAAAGAAGATGGAACCAAAATAGGAGAGTTGGGAGAACTTGCTGGTCTTAGAGGGGAAATTTGCATTAGAGAGTTACAGAATGTAATAAATGCAGATGATGCTTTGGAAGCCCGTTTGAGGGACAAGAACTTTGAGGTGTTGAAGTTGGAATGGGATGTTGATTATGAAACTGATTCCACAGAACATGAAAGGAATGTGCTTGACAATCTATTGCCCAGCACAACCTTGAAGAAGCTTGCGATTAGTGACTATGGAGGCACAAAATTTCCAAGTTGGATAGGCGATGAGTCATTCTACAATATAGTCCATGTTAGACTTTATAACTGCAAATATTGCCTCAGTTTGCCCCCACTTGGTCAATTGCCGTCCCTCAAAGAACTTTATATTTCAGGATTTGATGCAATAGTAAGGGTGGGTCCTGAGTTTTGTGGGAGTAGCTCATCAAGTGCAAAGCCTTTTGCATCGTTGGAAAGCCTAAAGTTCTATAATATGTCATACTGGGAGGAATGGTTAATGCCAGATGAAGCTTTCCCAAAGCTTAAATCGCTTTCTATAAGTCGTTGCAAGAAGCTTACTGGAGACTTGCCTCGCCTCCTTCCATATTTAACAGAGTTTTCCATCTGGGCATGTCCAGAACTTGCTTCTTCCCTACCAATGATGCCAATCGTCAACAATGTAGACCTTGAAGACTGTGAGAAGATTACTGGGTATGATGTTGTAGAATCGTTTGGGTGTCTTGAAGGTCTTGGAATCAGCAAGTGTCTTGAGTCAACAACTTGTAGGTCTCTTCCTGCTGGCTTGAAGATCCTTGTGTTCAGGAATGGCCAGAATTTAGAGATTCCTCTGCTCAACTTATATGACTGCCCCAATCTGACTGAGATTTGGATTATCAATTGCGAAAAGGTTATCAACTCCGGAATGAGATGGAACTTGCAAGGAATTCCCAATCTTACAACATTTAGAATTACTACTTGTACATTTGAAAATAATTTGGAGTCATTTCCAGAGGAAGGGCTGCTGCCTAGCACTATCACAGAGCTTCAAATCTGGGATCTTGAATGGCTTAAAACACTGGACAGCAATGGGCTTCAACAACTCACCTCTTTAACTTCACTTTCTATCGGAAATTGTCTTAACTTGCAGACAATTACAGAAAAAGTGCTTCCGTCCTCTCTTCTAAGCTTTACGTTGTATAAATGTCCGTTGCTGGAGGAAAAGTGCGAGAGGGAGAAAGTGTAATGACTGAGAAAATTCCAGACTTTAAATAATACAATTTATTTATTTAAGCCAAGGATTTTCCTAGAAAATATTATGTGACTGAAGGATTTATGGAATCAATAGATGTATTCCTAAATTCTGTAGCAGATTTCATGTTAAGTTCATGTTTTCGATCAAGTAAATTCGATCGATAAATTCTTGCCGTACTTTAAGGCGGAATAATTTTCAGTACAAGTATAGTTTGAGAATCTTAATTTCAAGAATCTCCAAACACAGCATGATGTTAGCAGTGTAAAAAAAAAAACGCACTGACATTTTTAAAAAAAGAGAAAATCCTTAATTGCCAGACAGCTAGGTTAAAGTCAGAAGATAAATACCCATAGTAGAAGGGTATAATGTGAACTCGGGAGTTGACACCGTCAGAAACAACGTCATTTCTGAAAATTAACGCAGGATAGTTAAATTTAGAATTTGTTCAGTCTAGAATTAATTTCAAGACTGTAAACAGTTCAAGATATTACGCGAATAAGAATTTAATGTGATATCCAAAGCAGTCAAGGATTTAACATTTAACTGTAAATAAGCAGTAGAAAAAGGAACCGTCAGAAATGGGAACGAATTCCTGTTAGCTAAGTTACTCTCTTATAGTCAGTATAATTTTTATCAGTTTCTAAGGGAAACTTAAGAAAGTGGACAAGAGTACAATGGGGTAGGTGAGATTTTTTTCTCTCCCTTCCTCCACTTGGCCGGCCATGCATGAAAAAATAGAGCCAAACCTTTGGCTAGTGGAGTGTGCTAGAGGACTTTATGTTAAGGTGATGTGATGTTAGTGGTTGAAGGGGAATTAATGGCAAAGTTGCTTCTTCTTTTCTCCTTCCAAAACCGGCCAAGAAAGGGGGATTTGAACCAAAAATTTGGTTGAATGATGGAGTGGAATTGGTATTAAAAAAATAATTTCCAAGTTGCCTATAAAAGGAACCAACATAGGATAAGCTTCATTTTTTTTCTCCTAGCTTTTTCCCCACTCAAAAAATCCGGCCACACACTCTCCATTTCCTCTCAAATATTTTCTCCCACTCTCCAAAACTTGAGCCCCTAGCACACCATAGAAGAAGAAGAAGGAGATTAAGGGATTCTAGGAGGAGACTAGTCAAGCATTCCTCTAAGGGTAAAGAAACTCTAAATCCTCTCTTTTTCATGTTTTGGGAAAGTTTGAAATAGAGAAATATTCTTCTCAAATTTCCTTATACTCTTATAGTTTCAAGCCATTAACAATCCTAGAGGAGTTCAAGGGTTTTTCAAGAGAAAGAGAGAATTCTTCAAGGGTAAGTTCTTAAACTCCCCTCCATTAATTTCTAGCCAACTTTAAGCTTGGATTTATGGATGTAAATTTGTGGTTCTTGAAGAGATAAGATTGTAATAAGGGTGTGTGAGTTTTATGTTGGTTTTGTGAGTTTTGAGCTTAGTTTGATGTGGTATGTTTATGCTTAATCTAAGTTGCTTATTTTCAAATTAGAGGAAAAATTTTCCGGTGACTTTGACCGCGAAAATGAGGACCATAGAGCGAGAGTTTTTAATGTTTTAAAGCTTGAACTTATAGCCCTGGATGTTTTGAACATTTTCGGTTACTATGACAAAACCTAATTTTAACTCTAAAACCAAGTTTGAAGCCATTTGGCAAAAACGGACAAGCTGTCCAACACAGTTTCGAAAAAAAAACTGGCAGCCACTGGTTCAGCCAAACGGGACCCTTAGAAGCTGAATCTCGATTTTTCACAAAAGTGACAATTTTATATTTCGACGAGATGAAGAAATTTGATGAAGAAAAGATTTTCAAAATCCGACCCTAAGAGGTACTAAAACACAGATTCCCGAAACGGCACAGTTTTTGACTAAAACAGTTTCAAGAAAAACAACAGCTACGGCTTTCAGCCAAACGGGGCCTTTAGAGGCCGAGATGAGAAGCTATACGGCTCAACTCCAACATAATTGCTCTGATATAGCTGGCTCTTTTAGGCACTTGGATATTTCCCAACAACTCCGGTCCATTTATGGTTATTGCTTCTGTGAACATAGTAGCTAAATAATCCCAACGCGTTACATAAGGCAGATATTGTATAATTGTTCGGTTTTCCGCAATTTTTTCCATTCCTCGGTGTAAATAGCCTAATATTGGTTCACAGTCAATAACATCTTCACCATCGAGAGTAACGATGAGTCGAAGAACACCATGCATTGATGGGTGGTGGGGACCCATATTTACTATCATGAGGTCTTTTCTTGGAGCTGGTATATTCATAGGTTTTTCTTTTTCCTCGATTGATTCTTTCATGAATTACTGAAAAGCGAAAATAAGTTCATTAAAATAAAAAAAAATCAAGATCTAATAAATCAAATAATTCAATAATTCAAAACGCTTCCTCAAATTCAAATTAACGCATTTTTGATTCCCGAATATCTAACTGATTAATTAATTCTTTATAACGTATTCTATTGTTCTTTGACAAATAAGACAGCATCCTTTGGCGTTTTCCCAAAATTTTACGGAGGCCTCTCTGAGATAAATAGTCTTTTCTGTGCAATTCCAAATGTGAAGAAAGTTTTCGTATCCTATTAGTGAGGCTTAGTATTTGAAATGTAACAGACCCCCTGTTTTTTTCTTTTTCTTCGTGTGAAATAACCGAGATGAATGACTTTTTTATCATAAAATGAAATCTTCCCCCCCACCGGCCCTTATTGCTTTGCTAGATTTTTTTATTGATCAATAATAATAATGTTATTCATTTTTTTTTTTTTATTTGGCATACACAATACAATAATCTTAATTTTGTGAATAATCTTAATTTTGTGAATAATTTCCAATTTGAAAATTGTATTCGAATAGGTAAACAAAAAGATAGTTGTCTGCACTCACAAAAGATAAAAAATTATATCTAAAATTTAAAAATAAACTAAGAAGATTTTTGCATTATTTCTAGATATTGATATGTCATTAAATTAGTATCGTGTATCATAATGGAATAGAAAACAATATAGGTGTGCATCTATTTGTCTTCATATATGCAATATAGTACGGGAAATAAAATCAATCCGTATTTCACTTTTTTTCAGTACACGCTTAAGTTCATTTTTAAATTGCGGATACATATGTATCCTTACCATACTGAAACGACTGCCATTATTGGTATCAAACCAATAGCGATTCATACAAGCGAAATCTTCTAATCGATAATTAGGCCAAAGAAAGAACTTTAATCTAATTATATTATTTTGATTTATTTTGCTTTTATTCAAAACCGGACTCTTTACCTTATTTTCATTACAAAAAAATGCATTGCTAGGTATACCATTTCTATTCCTAGAATTGAAACAAATTAGAATTCTCAATTCTCTACGATGTCTAGGGGATAAAATAGTTTCAGGAACAAACAAATCATAATGATTTTTGTCTCGATTTTCAGTCATCTTTTGATGTTTTGAAATGAATTCATCAAAATTCTTCGTATCAACATGGCCCTTTTCTCGATACCTTTGATTAATTGTGTGTTTACTTTTATGAACCAACGAAATACCTATAGTTTGATACATAATAAATTGTCCTTCATTTTTTCTAGACAGACGAACTGGTTCAATAAGTAATATTCCCTTTTTAATCAATTCTGTAAGAATGAAATTTTTCTGAATCATTAGAAGATCCAGATTTATTTCTCCCCTTTGAATAGAGGCTATAGTAATTTCTCTTAGGTTTATCGGTCTAAGCAGGGAACAATATACTTTGATGTTATCGATCATTTTTTTATTTAAAGAATCGTCCCATCTCAATTGAAAAAGCAAATACCTTTTTAGTAAGAAATCAAACTCCGCTTCCATGTTGGTCCTGGATTGTTTTTTATTTTTTTTCATCTTTGATACCGCATAATTTTCTTCAATATCTTTTTCTTGATTTGAGAGAGTTGATTCAAAATCTGTTTTGATTCCGCATTCTTTTTCTACTTGATTTTGTTTTTCTAATTCAAGATATTTTTTTTCATTTGAAAATATTGATATAAAGATATCTCTTTTTTTCTTTCCAGTCGTTTTTTTATTTTTATTTCCACTGGCATTTTCATTTACATTAAGATTTAAAAGGAGAAATTTGATTGGTATGTACCATGGTTTAATCTTATACGAAGTATAAAGTATCAAAAATTCTGGGAAAAACCAAAGTTCGAGATTCGATATGGGACAACTTAGTATTTCTTCATTCATTCTCATCCAATCAAAAAGTTTTTTTTTTGATGGATTCATTTCTTGATTTTGATGAATCGTGGGATAAAAAAGATCTTTCTTGTCGATTTTCTCAATTATTTGATAATTATTAGCCCTAGGTTTAGTATATTTATTACTGTTGGCGTCAGTATCCATATTGATCCAGGCCCTAATATCCATTTTCTTTCTAAGACAAAAATTGAGAATTATCCAATCGAAATTTTTTCTATCCGGATTGTTCTTTATATCTATAATATTATCTTCTACTAGATAATTATTGATAGGGATACCTACCAGCATATTAAATAATTTTCGTTTATGTTCGGTATAATTATAAAAAATCTCTTGGTTATTATTTACTTGTAATGGTAATCCATAAATAGATGAGTTTTTCTTATCTTCATAATTAATAAAATTATATGATAAAAGATCATATCTATATTTTTTTTTAACATTTTTTTTTTCGGAGTTAATTAATGGCTTTTTTTCATATGAATCATATTTGTTTAAATGGTTATTTTGAGCTATAGAGTGTTGATTTACTATATTTATACCTTTTTGTGGTACTAATCTAGACTGAGATAAATTATTTTGATAATAACCCCTTAAGCAATTTTTCCATTGATTTATTTCATAATTGGGGATGTTCTTATGTCTTAATTCGGAATGAAATATTTTTTGTGTTCCAAGAAAATAATCCTTTATTTCATTCTTAAGAAAAAGAAAAGCTCCATTATATTGAAAGACAGATCTTAATCTTAACTTAT